GCTAGGGAAATGCTCTACCACTGAGCTACACTCCCCAGGCCCAGAATGGCTTTCCTTAAAAAAAAAAAAAAAAAAAGAAGAAGAAAGATATTTCAATATATTTATTCCAGATTGTAGGAATATGGATCATTATTATCTGCCTCTGCCCCGTTGGGGTCATGGACACATACCACTGCGTCCGCTCTCTGGAAGTTCTGAACTGAATTCTTGTAGGAGTGGATGAAGTGGAGGCAGAGTGGACACGAGTCTTTCAAGAGTCTGACTCTGAAAGGCCGGGAGGCCCGAGGCAGGCGTGGGGTCAGGGGGATGGGTGTGCGAGGAGCATGTTCTCAAGCTGGTAGAAGGGGAGCCACCAGCACAGAGGAGAAAGGGAGGAGTGGAGGAGGGGGCTCGACCTTCCCCCCAAGGAAGACAAGGCCACACTTCAGCAGGAAGGAGACGGAGGGGTCTCATCTGCCAGTTTCTGTTTTCTCAATGAAGTGTCAGAGGAGAAGGGAGGAGGGGAGGCGCATGGTGGGTTTCCACATGAATCAGGATGCACAAAAGAGTCATTCTAAGACAAGAAAAGCAATCTGCAGGTCATCAGGACGTCCCATCGAGGGCTGTGGTCACAATCTAAAGTGGAACCCGCCAACACAGATGTGGCTTTCCCCCCAGGACACTCGGAGCCACTCCAGCGTTAAAGGAGGAGGGTAGGTGACAAGGACATCCACGGACAGAGAGAAGGGATGCTCCCTCGCCCCTCCAAGAGCAGTTCCCAGAGGGACCAGAGAAGTGACACCAGGAGAGACAGATAGGGCAAGAAATGAGGCAGGAGGAGGCACAGCAGGGTCAGGAGGGGACACCTGCAGCAGATGACCTGGAGAAGGCAGGGTTCTGGGAGCAGCTGCGGGGAGTGCTGGGGATGAGGCCAGAATGGGTCAGCACCTGGATTCTGAAGTCTGGGGGAGGCTGACCAGGGTCCAGGTGGAGAGCAAGAAGATTCTGGGATGGGTCACCAGAAGGCACTCAGGAGCTACCACAGAGGGGACAAAAGGCAGTGGACAATCCAGTCTCAACAGATCATGAGCCATGGGGAGCCAAGRGGATCCACCTCCAATGGCGGCTCCCCCTCTGGGTGTCAGAGATCCAGCTTCTCCTGGGTGGGCAGAAGTGGGCAGCGTCTCCAGGAAAGAACCAGGTTTTTACCCAATTAAGAGAAAATCAGGTGTTGGTTTTTGCTTTTTAACATAGCCCTGTAAATTCCCACAGCTGGAGACTCCCAGTCAATAACTTTTATAAAAACCTCTCCAAGTGATTCAGGCACCCAAACGGGTTTGGAAGCCACTGGGTTAAAGGGGATCAAAACCCTGCGGTGAATCATGAAGTAAACACAGCAAATACTGAGCAAATATTTGTTAGACTGTGTTTCAGTCAGCTTTCCCACTGCTGTGACTAAAAGGCCTAATAAGAACAATTTTAGAAGAAGAAAAGTGTATSGGGGGGCTTGTGTTTCAGAGGTCTCGGTCCATTGATGGCCAACTCCATTCCTCAGGAGCAGAACATCATGGCGGAAGAGTGTGGAGGAGGAACGTGGCACCTGGAAGCAGAGAGAGCTCTGCTCAACAATTTGACAAAATATATACCCCAAAGGCAAGCCCCCGGGGACCCACCTCCTCCAGCCACCCCCTACCTGCCTACAAGTACCACCCAGGATACCACTCAGATGAATTCATAACCCAACTATCTCACTTCTAAACCTTCTTGCAAGGTCTCACACATGAGTTGCTGGGGGACACGTACCTAACAGACTGAGTACAATTAAGTTCCATGTGTTTTAGTAAGTATCATGAGTGAATTCTCTCATGGCACAGACAATAGCATTAAAAATAGAGGGGAAAAAAAAACACAACTGCAATTATAAATCACCTGCGTGATCCTCAAGAACCTGATACCAAAGAAGCATGAGCATAACCACTGGCCACGGACTCTCAGGTGACCTTGCTTTTTTCCGAGTCCCATCAGGGTCTCATAGTTCACATCCTTCCAAAGCCACTTTTTCCAGYCAGATAAATCTAGCATGACATGAACTAAAACTAATAACTAGGGACACCCATCAGTTCTGTACCCTAATTGGAATCTATCTGCCCAAAATGGGGGGGGGGAATCCCCGAAACTACATTCCCACAACCCTGTGAATGAGGGAACTAGCAAAAGGTCCTTCCTTCTGTCCTCCACACAAGATTCTCTCCTCAAATAGCTCGTGCTCGGATCAGATTTCCACCATTTATTGTTGAAACAAATCACCACAGCCTTCCTCCCCTCAAAAACATGTGTCTCGMGCATTTTGAAAGAAGAGAACTATGTTGTTTGAACAGAGCTCTCCCACTGTATAACATATTGCATTACAGAAATGTGAAAAATGTTTACTTACAAAGGTTACAAGGGCTCTCGCCTTCCTGGGGCAAAAACTCTATTTGCTTAYTTTTTTGTAGTGCTGGGAATGGAACCTGCKGTCTTAGCGATGCTGGGCAAATGCTCTACCCCTGAGCAAGGGTCCCAGCCCTGGCTCTCAATGTTTTAAAGTGTGAAAAGGCTGCAGCATGAATGCCTCATCACGGTTCTTTCTGGTGGAATGTTGTCCTGCATCTTCAAAGCATTGACCAGGGTTTACAGGCCCCTCCTTCCAATAAGAGGACTGTGTTTCTAGAAGCACTAACCCCTTGGCCAGTCAGCACCCACTCAGGCCAGGACACAGGTGGGGACTTATTCCCAGCCTTCCTTTGACCTAAGTCCTGACCACTCTCAATGAAGCCTGTCAACAACATTCTCTTGTTTYAATCTTGTAGATGTGGAGATTTCTTTTATCCTTCCTTAGCTTGCACTCTGTGTGTGAAATGATCTAGGTTTAGGTTGTTTCAATTTCCTTGAGGCAGGGTTGGTGTTTTCTGTGGACACCAGGGAGCAACCTGCAGCACACAGCCTGTTGGGATGTGGATCTGAAATGTTCCCCAGAAGCTAAGGCCCAGTCCCCAGTGCAGCAGTGGTCAGAGGTGGGGCCTTTGAGAGGTGCCTGGTGGGTCAGGAGGGCTCTGAGCCCATCCGTGGACCCATCCATTCACAGGGTCAGATGCAATGGGTTTGGGGAAAGGCTCTGTCATAAAGGAAACTCTCTGCTTCCTGGTCAGCATGAGGTGGGCAGCTTTGTCCACAACAGGCTCCTCACCATGATGCTCTGCTCAYCACAGGCCCAGAAACAATGGCCAGGTGACCCTGGACTGAAACTGTGAGCCAAAATAAATCTTTCCTCCTCCAAATTATTTAGTCTCAAGTATTTTGTCACAGAGACAGAAAGCTAAGTAGCACAAGGCCTGGTAAAGAATATCTACAACTAGGCCAGGGCTGTATCACAAGACCACCAAAATAAAAGACAGCCACAGGGTCACCCAAAGGTACCCTACCTCTATCCCTCCCCTCCAGTCAGCTGTCCCCCCCCACGTCCACCTAGGACACTGCAACACAGCTTCCTCCCCTGATCAGGGGATCACCCCCTGCAGCTTGTAACCCTTTTTATCACACAAATTATACCATGTCATTCCAAGGTTAAAGGAACCCCCACCTGTATTTAGACTAAAATTAAAACTATCACTATCTCCCTCTTCACCCTGGTCCCCCAGTATCTGGTGTGAATGTGGCAGCCTGAGTGACTAAGACTGCTCTGCTTGACACTCTCCGGTCTCCCATCTCATGCACAGGCAGCGTCCTACACTGTCTGCCTAACCATCCCCCTCAGATGTTCTTCCCCCACCTCCCAGAGCRGCGACCTCACTCCACTGAGGTCTAGGCTAAAGGTCACCTCTGGAGCTCCAGCAGCCRATGATTTCATCCATCACACCTACCTAGGAAGCCTCCAGACACACTCAAAACCACAAATTCCCCCACACTCCCTAACTGACTTTCTGCAGTATTTTCTTCTCCAGAACCCTGGCCACATCTGACATCTTAGAAAGGTACAGTTTATTGTGGGTCCAGTGGGATCTCAGCTCCATGGGAGATCAGCGACCTGCACCTGAGGTTCACTTCCACYCCGGGGCCTGGCGCGGAGCCTGGTGCAGGTGCACGTTAACATTACTCAACAGACCTGGCCGCAGTCCCTCACTCCTGGCCCTGGTGGCCTTCTCCTGCCTCCCGCAGCAGCCGATCAAGTTCATGGCCACTTCTGCACACTGCACTTGCTGCCCCCTCTGCTCGGGACATCCCAGCACCAACCTCTGGGGTCATGTCTGAAATCGCCTGGTTTATTCTCAAAGCTGCTTGTTTACTTTGAGATATTGCTCAGTAAATATCTGTTGGAGGCACAACCTGGGAGCTCAGGGGCCTTGGTTTTCCCAACTTTAAAACAAGAAAGCCCAAGGGGCTCTTAGGTCTCTTTAGGCATTTTTTTTTAACCTTAAATTCTCAAAGCACAGGATAGTTTACAGACTCCACTTGGGACAAGCCGTGCCAAGCCCCGGGTCGTCATTAACCTTGGTATCATCTGAGCGAACTGCTGACTGGCCCTGGTCCGAGGTTTAAGTCCACAGCCCTTTCGGACAGCGGCCGCCGCCAGCCGAGTCACGCGGGACGCGGGTGCTCGCAGAGGGCTCAGGGCGCACAGATGTGCGGGTTAACTTCACACCMATCCCCAAAGCGACATCACGCCGACTCCTGGTGGTTTCCCTGTTTCCAGGAACGTGCTGGCGGGAAGGAGAGGTCGGCACTGGGCGCCCATCTCAGGACGGGGACAGGGACAGGGACGGGTCTCCCGGCTCCCGCAGACCTGCTCGCGGCTGTGGGCAGCGCGGGCCTCCGCTCCCGGGCTCCYGGGCTCCCGCAGCACCGGGCGGGCCCGTCCCGAGACGGCGAGCGGCCCCTCCGCTGGGCGGCGACCTCGGGCGGGAGAAGGCCGGTCCCTGCGCGGGGTCCCCCCGCCCTCCCGCCCGCCCGCCCGCCGCGGCGCCTCGCGGACCCGCCGGCCTCACCCGTAGGCGGTCAGCAGCGCCTTGTTGACCAGCACCAGGAGGAAGGAGCAGGMGCCGTAGAAGAGCGCCGACAGCACCCGGGCGCCCCGCGAGGCCGGCCGCGCCGCGTCGGGCTCCGCGCCCTCGGCCCGGCCGCCCGCCGTCATGGCCCGCGGACCCGGCTCGGCCCGCCCGGCCGGCGGCGCCAAGGGGAGGGCGCGGCAGGAACAGGAGGAGCCGCGGCGCGTCCCGCCCGCCAGGCCCAGCCGGGCGCCTGGCCTGGCCCGCCCGCGGAGCCCCCGCGCTGCCCGCCCGCCCGGCCCGGCCCCGGCGGCGCGGGGACAGCGCTCCGTGAGCCCCGGCGTCGGGGCCCCTCCTGCAGCACCTGTGCGGCGTGACTCGCGAGCATCCGAAGGCACCGGCCCGGCTTGGGCGGCTCACAGCGTCGCCCCCGCTGCCTGGGCCCTGGAAGCCCCCACTTGGCTCCCATTCCGCGCGCTCACTGGCTTCTCTAGAACCCCACGTAAACGGACGCCACCCGGAAGGCTGGCCACATGTCGTTCCATTCGCCGTGGGACACGGGTTTCCAGCTCAGGGCCATCACGAACAAGGCTTCAGTGCCTGGTGGGCAGGTGTCTGTGGGGGCCCTAGGGCCTTTGGCAGGTGGTAGGGAGGAGGGAGATGGAGRCTCAGCACTTCCTGCCTCTGCGCACGCACGCACTTGGTGGTGGGTTCTGTCCCCACCTGGGGCTGTTTCTTTCCCAAGAGGAAAGCGATTGCACATCAGAGGTTCTAGTTAACTGAAGGAAATCCTCCCAGAACTGGTCATGCTAGCCAGCCTACCTGTTCTAGCTCTGAGCGTCCCATGTTTTCATTCTAAATAGTTAACTTTAAAAACCTGTGAAAGTTTAGATTTTTGGAAATGCTAAAGATTAGCAGCTCAGTTGGTAGAACGCTTGCCTCGCATGCACAAGGCTCTGGGTTCAATCCCCAGAACCACACACACACACACATACTCACACACAAACACACACACACAAAGCCGTGGTACAGGCCTGTAATCCCAGCGACTCCGGAGGCGGAGGCTGAGGCTGTAGCAAGCTCAAGGCCAGCCTCAGCAACCTGGGGAGACTATCTCAAGATAAAGAAAAGGACTGGAGATGTGTAGTTCAGTGGTAGAGGAAACCTAACAATTTTCAGTTAAATTCTCGRAGCCTAACTGTATAAATGACAGAACAATTGTTACAGCTATGCAAAAAAGATGCCTGGGACAGAACTGGAATGTAATATAAAATGCACCCAAACACTTTCGATGGAAAAATGTAGAGTTGTTGATCATGTTTCTAGTTTTTAAGACTTGTATATTGTGGTTATATTTATGAGGAAAAATTATWAAAACTTCAAGGATAACCATATACTCTTTAAGCTTTAAATTAAAATAAAATTTTATTCAAAGCATCTTTTAAAATTACAGCATGTGTATTCATATGCTGTTAAATCTGCCAAACTACAACTTAGCCACGTGAAGCATAAAACACTTCAAAAGTTTGAATGTAAACCACATTTTTAAAACAAAAAGCAGTCTAAACACACCTCAAATTTTAGATGCCAATGTATTTCCAAGGATATAGCTTATATCAAAAAAAAATCTCTGAACTGTTTCTAGAGCTGTAATAATTTCTTAAACAATTCCAATTATACAAATAAAAAATGTTTGTGAATATAACTACTGTGGTTGACAAAAGCTGACTGGAGAAACAAACAAATAAAAACCCCTACTTTTTTTGAAGCCCTTAAATCTTATTATCTGTGAGTTGGCAAGTATTTGTATTTTTAAAATTTGTACTGCCTTTCCTTCTCAGATAAGTTTATCAGATTTTAAATTTCAAGACTAATGAGTGTTGCTTTACAGTTCATATAAATCATATTTGAAAGGAAAAATTCTAGAGTAAATGTTGAAACCTAAACCAAGAAAATTCAGATGCTATGGTCTCTGACCATGCTTGTAAGTGCTCCAAGTTAAAATTCTATATACCAGATTACAAACAAAATTCTTAGACCATTACAAATATAAATTCTCTTATTACAAAAAAAAACTCCCTAAAGATTTGTAATTTACTGTACAGAGGAATTACATTTTTAAAGTATGTCCTCATCATACACATTATTGGTAACTATCATTTTTCTTTCACACTTCGCTCCTCCTCAAGACATTTACAGACCTCCCCTTCCCAAGGCTGTGACCTGGGCACTGCCACACACTRGGATGTTTGGATAAAGAAGCCTACCTTCTGGATAAGGTGTGAACTGCACTTCAACTCAAGAAAAAAAAGGTGCTGAAGAGCCCATCTTTCCCTCTACTACTCTTGAGGTTCACTCCAATTAAGCAATCTGTAAATTACCATGCTATGCATGTCATTTAGTTCAGCCCAAAACAAAAGCTAAAACGATGGAGGTTTTTGCCTATGTAAAGGAGGTGGACTGCTCAGCTCTTGATTTTCCTGTTCATGCTTCAGTACATAAAGTGGTGTTTAATAACTTCATCTATTTGGAAAAAAACCACCACACAAGTTAACACACTTGCAGTTTAAAACTAGTCCAGAAGCCTACATATTTGAGTAGCTAATATTTTCTGCAGTGTTTAACTCATAGCTAAATTTAGTGAACACAAAATAGCTTGGCATGTTATTCTGAAGTAAAGCAAGAAGGTGGCTTTATGCACTGAAAATATAAATACGGAGGCTTCCACTTGCTAATAATCCTAAAAAGCAGTACAACTAAAATTTAGTGTTTGCTAACAAAAGATCTAAAACATTTCACTACAAAACAACCCTGTAGATGTCCCTTTTATTAATAAAAATCCAAGTGCCAAATCTCATTACAGGGCCCATTGTATATAAAAAAAAAATTACCAATTACCATGTTACCTAGACTTTGCAAGATTAATCACTCAATTTCAGCAAATGTGAAATGTGCAAAAGTTCCCCAGTTAACATGCTAGGAATGACAAGTGCTTCTCAAACTTAAACATTATAGTGAGTTAGAAAGCCCCAGAAAGATAAGAATAAGACTGATTTTACTCCAATTTTGAAAATTATGAACTACTGTGCATCTTACCAAGATCCTCAAATATCTGTTTTCTTCCAAGTCCATAACTTAGAACATCATCCCAAATAGTCAGCTTCCCATTTCTCAAGCCTTATTGGACACGCTATTTTGTAATTTAAAATATATATCTTACATATTTCATACTTTCTTGCTTCAGTGTTTACAGTATTGTAAAACATATTAATATACATTGTTAAAAATGATCTTATAAATAGTCTCTTTCAACCTTCTTTGGCTATTTGTACCATTCTGTTTTTTTCACAAGTGTCTTATTCAGAAAGTGCTTCCCGTGAGAACTGCTTCCAATGAATGCATTAAACTTGCAAAATCTAGCTTCCCACAATATGTAGTTTTCTACCCTGTACTGTGCAGTCCATATTTACAAAATATTTTAAACTTTACATCCAATCCATTTCCATATAAAAAAAGTGCAATTCTCTCTCACCCCATACTCTGGGGCAATGACATTCTTCATGAATTTCTACAGAATAGCAGCCTATGATAAGCAAATAAGGTGCTTAGCTTATGCCCAAGGATCTACTTTGTAAGTACATGGGCAGTACTTCTGTACAGTGGAGAGTCTGTGCAGGCTACTGGCGGAGCGGTGCCCCCGTCAGGTTGGCCAGCTCGATGAGGGCCAGGGCCCCGTGCAGGCGCTCCCGCTGYTCCTGCAGCCGGCGCTGGGCGCCACTCTTCTCATCGTCCTCCTCATCAGACTGGAGGAACTCCAGAGGGTCCTGCTGCTCCTGGTCAGCCTTCTGAGCCAGCTTGCCCTTCAGGGCRGGGGCGCGCTGCTCTCTCGTCTCCCAGTACCTGGGTAAAGAGCAGGCACGTCAGCTCTGTGGTTGACAAATTCCCAAGAGTTACTTCTGGTTAAACAAAGTTCTTTAACACAGTATTGCTTTTCTGTGTTCCAGTTCTAAAGTGAGTTCACATATATACTTTCCATTTACAAAGGGAAAATAACTCAGAAAGAAGTGATGACTCTGGCTCATGCTTCTGTAATCAAAACCTGGCAGTTCCAGATTTTATGCTGGACTCTCTAATCATGAGTTTTTASCATTAAACCACAGCTGCTCTCGAGCTGGGTATGTAGCTGAGTGGTAGAGCACCTGCCTAGCCTGTATAAGTTCCTGGATTTGATCTAATAATAGAGATAAAAAACACACCAAAAAAAACTGCCTTAAATCTCATGAGAAATGGACTAGAGTAATACAGAAATATTAGGGGGAAAGTCATTAGAAACCTATCTAGCTGAGAGCAGTAGCACCCACCTATAATCCCTGCAACTTGGGAGACTGAAGCAGGAGGATAAAGTTTGAAGTCAGCCTCAGCAACTTAAAAGAGTACTGGGTTCAATCCCCAGTACCAAAAAAGTACCAAAAAAATAGTCCACAGAAGGATGGCCACTTCTGACAGARTTGACTATGTAAAATATTAAATTTCGAAAATATGACAGAAGGATTAATATCTGTAACATACAGTTTCAAAAACTTAACAATACTACCCTTATTCAACTATATGAATGACTGATATTCACAAGAGAAAATTGATATTTAAATGACAGCACCATTTTATACAAAAATGTCCACACAAAGTCTTGTGTATTAGTGTTCATAATAACTTTATCTGTAACAGCTAGAAACAACCCAAAATGTCAACAGGCAAATGAATACACAAGTTAAGATGTATCCACACAATGGATTACTAGTCAGCAACAAAAGGAATGAACTGCTGACACACTCAGTGTGGATCCATCTCAGAATACTTAAGTCAGAAGCCAGATGAACAGGACATACGCTGACTACATTTGTATAAAATTCTAGAAAATGCAAACCAGAAGTGACAGTAGGTCAGTGTTTGGGGGCTAGGGTGGGGGAGTTACAGAGGGGCTTGAGGAAACTGGGAAGTAATGTTCAAGTCCATCATCTGGACTCTGGTGATGGTCTCAGGTGTAGACATATGTCAAGATGTATCAAGTTGAACATTTCAATTATATACAATTTGTTATATGTCAATTATACAACAACAAAGCTGTTTGAAAATCACATACAAAAAGTAATTACCAGATTTCAGAAAATCTAGACTACTCAATCTAGGAAAGTACTGGTAATACCTATAAGAGGTATATAGGAAATGCAATGACTTCAGTGTGACCTGAAGGACGACTAGGAAGTTTAGAAACTAGGTCAGCMGGAACCAGGTCCTAAAGGGCTTTAAATGCCCCTGGAGGTTTAGGCTTTAGCCTGAGGGTAATATTGGCATTTTAGAGACCTCCCTCTGATAACAGAACAGAGAATGGATTGTGAGAGTTCAAGTAGCTAAACTTGAGCTAGCCAGGAGGCAGAGTCACTGATAGGACAGACACSGAAGACCAGTAAGTTTCTGGCTTGGGAAAAATTAGAATCAGGAGAAAGAAGAGTGCTATGGTTTGAGTAGATACCCCAAAAGGTTTCATGTGTGGGACAGTATGGTGATGTTGAGAGGTAGAAGAAGTAAGTTTTAAGAGCTGAGACCCAATACAAGGTAATTAGGCCATGGATTTGCTGCCTTAGAAGGTATTAATATAGCTCTCTCGCAGGACCTGAGTTAGTCCCCTAAGAGAGTGGATTGTTATAAAAACAAAGAACTTGGCTCCTGAATCTCTCTGGCTTCCTATCTGGCCACAGGTGTTTCCACTGTTATGATTCCATCTGCCATGGAGCCCTCACCAAGAACAAACAGATGGGGCTGCCTCACCTTGAATTTTCAACCTCCAACATGTCCACTAAATAAACCTCTTTCATTTAAAATAGCCAGTCTCAGGTATTTTGTTATAGTAAGAGAAAATGGACTAATAAGGGAAGGGAGGAAGTGATGGAAAATTTTAGTTTAAGGGCCTCAGGGATATCACATTTAAATAGAAAATTTCTCTGCATTTGAGTAATCAAATTGTATTTTCAGATTCCACTATTTGATTCTTATATGATTTATCCTCACAAAACATGCAGTTTATCCATTCAACTACTGATTAACATCCATAAACTGTGGTAGGCCCTAAGGACACCCCAGGGACAAGACAAACATTCCTGTCCTCATGGACCTTCTAGTCCAGCAGGGAAAGTAGGCAATAAACAAATGTGTGATGGATGCTTTGAAAGGGAAAATAGTGTGTTATATAAGCATCTATTAAATGGGTCCAAGCCTGTTTGTTTTGGGAGCTATTTCAAGTTATTTCATAAKATGTACAGAAGCAACATTTGAAATAAGAACATTCTCTAACCCAGACCCAAGCCCAACAGGCCCACTCCCAGGGACTAAGCATGGATGCCTTACTTTGCCAGCCACTCGGCAGCAGCCTTGTTGTCTGCAGCCTGGTGCTTGCTCAGTGTGTCCGTAGGCTCCTCTCGCTTCAGTCTGGCATAAGGGTGCTTTGGACAGTGGCGGTTTGCATGAGTGAATCTGCTCAGGCAGCCTTTAAAACACCAASGGAACCACTTGTTAGAACCTGGACATCCAACAGACATATTGAAAATGTTCCACCTCATTGGTATCCAAGCAAGGTTACCTTTAATTAAATGAAGACGGTGAGCTTCAACAGACTAGAACCAAACAAGCCTCTGAATGGTCTTAGCAATGCCAGTGGGGGGACAGGAAGACAGCTCAGATACAACTTAGTCATCGCCATGTACACGTGCCACATCCCACAAGAAATGCAAGTCATAAACACTGAACATCTCAGAGCTGAGAATTCCATTCTTGGAGTCTATCACAGGAAACATCTCAAGAGATGCTCAAAGCTATAAGTATAAAACATTCCCTCAACTTTGCTAGTGACAAGCAAATTTTAAAAACTGGTCAAATAGATATTGGATGTGTAACCCTGAGGTCATCATTGTGCATAAAACTATAGTATACTATGTAAAACTAYAGTTATAGCAATAGGGTAGAACCATGCTGAATTTCAAATATAACCATAAAAATGTGCATAAGAAAAAAATCTTTAAAAATTGTGATTAAAAAATTATGTAAGAAAATATGCTTTCTTCACGTAATAGTTAAAGAATTTAAAACCAACATAAAGGCAAGCTCTACACTTACTTTTAAAGTTTTTCTACTCCCTACAACTAAATGTGGTATTTTTAATTGCCTTTTAAGGTTTTCATCTGTAAAGAATACTTTATTTAAAAATCAGTCATTTCCAAGATTTTCAGCATGGGTCACAATTAACAAAAAAAGCTTTATAATGTTTTAAAAARTTTATGTCAAAAATTTCTCCATAGGGCTGGGGTTGTGGCTCAGTGGTAGACCGCTCACCTAGCATGTGCAAGGCCCTGGATTCAATCCTCAGCACCACATAAAAATAAATAAATAAAATAAATGTACTGGGTCCAACTACAACTAAAAAATAAATATTAAAAAAATAAAAAATAAATTTAAAAAATTTCTCCATAGACTCTGCTGCTGAGCTTAGCCACAACCCATTCAAGAGACAGTGGACCTTGCTCCACACACACAAACCCTGCTCAAACTTCCACAGTACTTCAACACAGAGTAAGGGAGACAAAAAAAATCCCAAATCGACAAGCAGACCCCACACAGGAACCACCTGGGGAGGGAGGGGCCTAAGGTTCCACTCATGGACATTTGTTCCCACAGCAAAACAGAGAAAGCCTCCAATATGGAGGCTCAGAGGAATCCACAGAGTTGAGCAGCTCTCCAAGAATGACCTAAATCAGCAGCTCTACAGTGGCAAATAGAGAGGCACTGGAGCTTGAACTTCGCACTTGGATAACACTGAGCCTGTATGTTGAAGCTAATATACAACAACAGCACAGGACAACCACTCACCAAAGAATCCTTGATGGAAGAAGACTCCATCAAAACATGCCAGTCTAAGACCTCTGAGAACTTGAGTAAACAGTCTCCCCCTTAAATTTACAATTCCCTAAGGAACCCACAGATATTGAAAGAATGAAATTCCAGAGAAAGACTATAAAAAATTGATTATTAAAAGACCTAAGGAATGAATTAAGAGAGCACATATAGAAAATGAAATACAATTTCAGTAAAAAGCTACAGATTCTGAACAGAAACTAATCAGAATACCCGGAAGTGAAAGATACAATAAAATTAAAAATTCACTTGAAAGTATCATAAAAGTTGGATTACGGTGCTGGGGTTGTGGCTCAGTGGTAGAGCACTTGCCTTGCATGTGTGAGGCACTGGGTTCGATCCTCAGCATAATAAATAAATAAAATAAATAAACAAAGAAATAAAGGTATATTTTTTAAAAAGTTGGATTACATAGAAAACAGAACATCAGCCAGGCATAGTGGCACATGCCTGTAATCCCAGCAACTTGGGAGGCCAAGGCAGGAGGACCACAAGTTCAAAGCCAGCCTCAGCAATTTAGTGAGAACCTGTCTCAAAATAAAAATAAAAAAGAGCTGGGGATGTGGCTCAGTGTTTAAGCATACCTAGGTTCAATCCCTGGTATCAGAAAAAAAAAAAAAAAAAAAAGGAAAACAGGACTTCAAACCTCAAAGACAGGGTATATGAACTTTAATACTCAGTAAGTGGTTAAGAAAAAGAAAATGGGGAGACCATGATTAGAGTACACAAGAACTCGGGAACAATATTAAGAGACACTGGAACTGAAGAGAGAGTAGACACAGACTAATGGCATTAGAAACCTTTTCAGTGAAATAATAGCAGGAAATTTTCTAAACCCTAGGAATGAAAGTGACATCCCTATATAAGAGGCATCTAGAATCCCAAATAAATAAAATCAAAAAGAATCTCTAAGATACRTCATAATCAAAATTCCAAACAGAAAAAACAAGGATAGAATATTAAGTCACAAGAGAAAAAACATCAGGTCACATTTAGAGATAAAACAATAAGGTTTACTTCCAACTTCTCAGCTCAGACGCTAAAATCCAGAAGGGCAAATAAGTAAATATAAAGAAATAAAATCCAGAAGGGCACGTAATGAGATAATAATCTAAACTCGATGGAAAACAATTACCAAGATTGCTATATCCAGCAAAGTGAGCATTGAGAATTATAGGGAAATAAAAATATTCCAAGATAAGGATAAACTGAAAAAAATCATGAGCCACTAAGCCACTACCACAGGAAATACTTAAAAACAAACTAGAGAACTCCCAAATACATGAAGCTCATTAGAAGAGCAATTAAGCAAAAGAAAAYTAAAACCGAATTAAATATATGAAACAAATCAAAATGGGATGCAACAATAAATATATCTCCATAATAATTGAATATAAATGGTCTCAACTCTCTGAAAGACAGAGACTGCAGAGTGGATTAAAAAAAAAGACCCAGGGGGCTGGGGTTGTAGCCCAGTGGTAGAATGCTTGCCTAGCACATGTGAGGCTCTGGGTTCCATCCGTAGCAGCTCATAAAAATAAGTAAATAAAGGCAACTATCTATCTAAAACTAAAAATATTAAAAAAAAAAAAAACATGCTGTTTGTAAGAGACTTATAGGCARGCATCCACAGCATGAAAATAAGTAGAAAAAGACATTCCAAGCAAATTGAGTCCAAAAACAAGCAGGAATAGCTATTGTCATATTCAACAAAGTGATTTCAAGCGAAAATCAGCAGCAGCAAGGCCACTAAATACTGGTAAAAGGAACAATCTAACACCTCTTGACATTAGGTTTCAGATAAACCCCAAAACAATAATAACAGAGGACGGCAATACATCCCTCTCACCAATAGACAAGTCATCCAGGCATAAAATAGACACTTCTGACCTAAATAATACTATAAATTCAAATGGACCTAAGAGACAGAATACTTCATCCAACAACAGCTAAATTCACTTTCTTCTCAGAAGCTCATATAATCTTCTCCAAAATAGGCCATATTAAAGATCAAGAAGCAAATCTTAACACAAAACCAAGGGGGGAAAATGTATATACATATAATCCCTTGCATCTTATCAAATAAAAATGGAATAAAATTAGAAATGAACAGCAATAAATATTACAGAAACCACATAAACATCTGGAGATTGAACAACATTTTTTTTTGAATGAGGAATGGATCATAGAATGAGGAAAAATCTTAAAAATTCCTGGAATCAAACAATAGTGATAACAACACATCAAAATCTGAGACACCATAAAGGCAGTTCCAAGAGGAAAGCTTATAGCATTAACTGCCTACATTAAAAAAACAGAGAGACTCCCAAATAAACAATCTAATGCTACATCTTGAGGTCTTACAGCAGGAACAAACTAATTACAAAACCAGTAGAAGACAGGAAATAATTAAGATCACAAACAAATTAATAAAATGGAAATAAAAGTTGGTTCTTTGAAAAGATAAACAAGACTGGTAAACCCTTAGCAAAACTAACCAAAAGAAGACAGAAGGTCCAAACCAACAGACATTTCTGAAATCCAGAGGAACTATTTTGAAAACAGGGAGCAGGGAAGGTACATTTATACATTGTTAATAGGACTGCAAATTTTGGAAAGCAGTATGGAAATTCCTCMAAAAACTAGGAATGGAACCACCATGTGATCCAGCTATCCCAGTCCTTGGTATTTATCCAAACAAACTAAAATCAGTATATTATAGTGATACATGAATATCAATAATTATAGCTGCACAATTCACAATAGCCAAGTTTATAAAACCTACCTAGGTGCCTCTGAACACACAAATGAATAAAGTAAATGTCTATATTTGCACCCAATGGAGTTCTACTCAATCATAAAGGAGAATGAAATTAAATGGTGAATGGATGGAGCTGGAGAATATCATGCTAAGTGAAATAAGCCAGAAAGTTAAAGGTCAAATGTTTTCTCTCATATGTGGAAGTGGGTGGTGTGAGGTTGGGGGATGGAGGGGAAAGGAATTCAAAAAGAAGAAGGAATCTCACCAAAGGAAATGGGAGACCAGTGAAATAGAGGAAGGGGTTCAAGAGGGAGGGAGAAAGGGAAGACATGGAAAAGTACTAGGGAAAAAAATCTACCAAATTTAGCTGTGCCCATGTACTGTTATACCACAATAAATCTTGTGGTACATATATGGAATGCACTAATTAAAATAATAGAAGGGAATTAATAGAGTAGAGCAAGTCCTGGGGAAGGACACTGAGCGAAGTACATGCATGTACAAATACGGCATAATAAGCCATCTGTGAGGTATCATTATAGTGCACCAATGAAAAATAAATTGTAAAAGGAGAAAAAATCTCTCCCTCCAAAAAGCAGAGGTAAAACATATTTTAACTAGTATCTATTCTATAAATTTAATTTCTAACACCATACCATTTTCCGAACAAACAAAAGGCTTCTCTCCAGTATGAAGACGCTGATGTGTTTTGAGCTGTCCACTTTGAACAAAGGCTTTCCCACAGTCTGGGTAGTCACACAGATAGGGCCTCTCACCTAAGAGAATATATTACATGAGGCAGTGAGTGAGAAGAGGAAGTCAGAGAAAAATCAACCTGGTGTATGCAGATCATGACTCCAGCCTACAATAAAACACAGGTCATAGCCCACGCAGACCAGCAAGCACTTAGATGGTATCAGCAGGTCTCCTCTGGGGAGCACAGTGTTTCCTTAGGTCTTGAGCTTTTGGGAACCCAAGTTCAAGTCCTTGAAGTTACCACTTCAGCTTATCTATCCCATACTTTTAGCCCCATAGTCCAGTCACTAGCTCTTACTGATTCTTTACGATGTCTCCCACTACTGCTTCCCAGGGGTATTTTCCCTGCTCAGGCTGGCATCCCCCACTGGTCCAGAAAAGACCCTCCAGCAGTCTGCTAGTGGCCTCTAGACACTTCCCTGCACAGGATACCAGACTAGCTGTCATGGAACTCTACTTTTTTGATACCCACAACCCATAAATCACCCCCAGCCTCGGACAACTAAAAATTGCCTGCTGACTATTCAGTGGTATCCTAATATCTGCACTGTAGCAGCCTCACCAACCTCACTGGCCACAGGTGAGGGACAGGGTTGAATCCTGACTTCCCTTCTGGAGAATCATTCAGTCAGGAGGCAATTCCTCCTCACCTTGTGCTAATCCTCGAAAATCCTATATTCCCAGCCCCAMAATCTTCCCAATCCTGTGGGCTCTCAATCACTCTTCCTACCTGCCTTGGCTTCCAAATCCTTGAACTTTGTATGCCTTCATGAACTTTATGTCCTGTGTTGTTTATGTATCATAAAAGCCTTCTTCCAAAAATTCATACCACCTTATACTTCATTTAAATTCCTATAAATAACCCAATGCTAGGCTCACACAAAGTGCTCAAAAATGTTGTTTAAGCCAGGCACAGCTGTGCACACCTGTAATCCCAGCAATTCAGGAGGCTGAGGCAAGAGGATGACAAGTTTGAAGGCAGCCTCCAAAACTTAGCAAGGCCCTAAGCAACTGAGCAAGAGCAAGATCCTGTCTCAAAATTAAAAATAAAAAGGACTGGGGATATGGTTCAGTGGCTAAGCACTCCTGGGTTTAGTCCCCAGTACCAAAAAATAATTGTTCAATCTTAATTACAATTGTTATTTCTTGAAAAAAAAAGATCATTTAACCAACATATTACACACTGGTTCTTCTTAACCTCAGAACAATAACAGATCRTCCCCTAAATTTTTCATTATATAGAGAGATACTAAGTGGTCATGATAGTTGGATGTATCTTAATAAAACACAGGAGGCAGGGGCATTATTTAAAATAGGAAGAGAAAAACTTTTTGCAAAGTACACGCTATTAGAGCTTAACTACTTGTCAGGCATGTGGGTCTTAGCTTCCGGGCGAAGCGTCAGGTGACACCCAGCAGAGCAGGGCAAGTCAGGACTGGGCCTTGGGCCTCTCCTCACGAGGCTACAGAGTCTTCACTCTTACCCACACTGGCAGCAAGCATTCTATGACTTGCAAACCAGGTTTTTAGGTATATTTCAAACTAATAAAGTTAAAAAATATGTACATAAAAATTCTCARAAGTAACTATTTCATTAAGTAAGTTTTTACTAATGGAATCTAAATTCCCCTAGCCATCTTATAATGATGCAAAATTATCACTTTACCCATTTTTCAGGGATTTAATGAAGAAAACCTTATCATATTAAAATATATCTCTTCAACAAACATAAAAAAATATGAAACAAACAATCACCATAATGGGAAAAATAAAGGACCGAGGATGACAAGGCCAATTTTAGACCAGAACAGCCCAATAGACATATTTTGAACTGCCTATAGAAGCCACTTTAGACAAGATAAAAAGAAACAGGTGAAATTAATGTTTTACTTAATCCAGTTTCTCTAAAATATTTCATTTCAACACCTAAAAATGAATTTCTGGATTATTTATTCCTCTTTTTTCATACGAAGTGTATCCTTACCTACCATCTCAATTCAGACTGCTCACATTTCAAGTGCCCAACAGTCRCATGTGCTAGCAACTGCAGTATTGGGCAACACCACTCTGTACTTAAGATAATGACAGTCTATAAACCAGTGGCAATTGGGTTTTTGACACTTCAGCTTCCTCGTCTTTAAATTATTAGATGAACTATAAGGTAAATCATTCCTATGAGGCCAACTTTCTAGAAAGAATAGGACCCTCGATAAATTATTTTTTTGGCTCTGTACACGGTATTTAAAATGTAAGTGTATAAGTTCTATGTACAAATAAAGATGTATGAGAATCTTGGGGATACCTACTTACCATTTATTTCAAAAAAAGAAAGAAGAAAAATCAGTTCACCATAGAGTTAATGGTTAGGTCAAACTGAAAAAACTCTACAAATTCTATTAAAATATTGACCATTGCTGTTTTAGTATTTGGCCTAAAAATTAACAATTTCAAAGATAATATTAAGTAAAATTCAGAAGGAAGAACCAAATTTAATAAAATATGACTGTGACATTTAAATTACTGTAACTTTAATAGTTACACGGAACCAGTGTTCTTAAAAACACCACTTCCCATCTACAGGAAACTGACTACACAGTGCCTATTTTTAAAAACTTCATAAATGATACTAGTAATGTAAAGTAACTACAAACACTTTATAAGCACAAACACTGGATCAGTTTTCCAGTTAAGAATTACTTCCAGCATTCTCTAAAATGTGTTCAGCTCACCTGTGTGAGTTCTTTTGTGAGCCTGGAGCGACTTCTCCCTTGGAAACACCCTGTTACAGATGTTACATCGGATCCTGCTCGAGGAATGTTCTCCTTCATTTATTAAATCCCGGACAGTATCTGCTCTGGGTCTACCACGTCGGATTCCATCCTGTAGACAATTTGTATAAACCTTATTAAAATTTCTTGAACTCTACTCAGTAAAGTCATGTATCATAAAAGATATCAATCTTTCTTGTGTGATATTAGCAAAAATGGTGAAGTAGGTGGCTCCAACAGGCCATCCGCTACAGATCACTGGAAAAATCCAGGAAAAACTATCTCAATCACCTTTGTCACAAGCCCAGAAATAGAAATTTACAGCAACTTGGTAAACACTAAGTCAAGAAAATGCCCACTTAAAACAGGAGGAAAGCTGCGTAGCACTTGTACTTGCCCTTTCTTTCTCCCTTCCCCAGAGGTGGTCCTGCAGACCACAGGCTGAAAGCTCAGTGTAGGAACTTAATCCCTGCTTCCAAAGGGAGCAGAGAATACCTTCTTCTGAAAAAACTGTCTGATTTGACCTCCATGGGGGACCCTATGGACTGATGGTAAGACATTTGTTTTTGTTCTGGAACTGTCTTTGTTCTGGAACTTTGTTCTTGGAACTCTCTTGGGGCAGAAAATTGGCTATTCAGAGGGCACTTCTCAAAAACCTTAAGACAAATAATAACCTACTGCCATCTGGAGCAAGAGACTTCAAACCCATGAAAAGCCTGGGAGAAAAAGCTGGGAGAGAGTTTCTTTGGAAAATTAGGGCATTGAAAAGTACTCAGGTATTGGGAATCCAGAAAATGACCCAAGCACCCAGGGCATGTGTCAGAAGCATGCTTTAAAAAAAAAAAAAAACTGTATAGACCCTAACATTTCACTTCTGACTGATTATCAGGCTCAGCACAAGCAGGAAATGAAGCACATTTTTCAGTGTGAGCTRTGGATGAAGCTCAGTGGTAGAATACTTGTCCAGCAAGGCTCTGGGAGGGAGGGAGGGAGGGAAAGAGGGAGGTCCAACACAAAGCTATTCTGCATTTCTTTTCCTTTTGTAGGGAATGGGAGAAAGAGGGGAGAGGAGCTCTAGGCATTCAAGGAAATCTCTCTCAAAATACTAGCTGGCTACATGCTAAAGTAACACAGCTTAGAGAATGCAACAATGAATACAAAGTTTAGAAAACTAGTTCAGAAAAATCACTAAACAACCACAACCCACAACACACAATAAAAGCAATCAATGAGGAGGAAGAATGTGAGTTCCAGAGTTACCACATTCAGATATTTTTAACAAATGTTACAAAACATGCTAAGAAATAAAGTATGGTACATATGCAAGAGAAATTAACAGAAACAGACCAAGAAGAAGCACATACATTAGACTTAACAGAGAAAGACTTCAAATCAACTGTCAAATAAGCTCAGTGAGCTAAAAGAAACCATGAACAAAGACTGAAAAGAAACCAGAACAATCTCTCAACAAAAAGAATGCCAACAGGGCTTGGGTTGTGGCACAGAGGTGGAGCGCAGTATGCGTGAGGATTCCATCCTCAGCACCACACAAAAATAAACAAATAAAATGAAGGTATGCTGTCCATTTGCAACTACAAAAACAAAAAAAGAAAAAGAAAAAAGAAAAGAAAAGGAATGCCAATAATGAGATAGGAATTATCAAAAGGAACCAAATAGATATTATGGAGCTGAAAACTAAAAAATTAAAGTGAAAAAAATCCACTAAAGGGTTTATATGGCACAGTGGAGCTGGCAGAAGAATCAGTAAATTTGAAAATGCTAGCTGCAATTATCCATTCTGAAGAACAGAAGAAAAATAAGAATGAAGAAAAATAAAAAGAACATAAGACAATGTAAGACACCATCGAGGATGCCAATATATACATRAATGGAGTGCTAGAGGTAAGAGAAAAGGACAAAATGAATGTTTGAAGGAATAGTGCCTGAAAATGTCCCAAATCTGGTAAGACACAAATCTAAACATCTGAGAAGCTCAAAAGATAAACACAAGAGATCCACAGTGAGACACACTGAATCATACTGTCAGAAGACAGACTCYTGAAAGCAGGGAGAGAGAAGTGACTTGTCATGCACAAAGGGGTCCCAAGTGAGATTAATGCTGATTTCCTAGGAAAGCAGTGAAATGACACATTTAAGACACTAAAAGAAGAAAAATGAATAATTCTATATCCAGCAAAACTATCCTTCAAAAAATGAAATTAAGCTGGGAGCACCTGAATCCCAGCAGCCCGGGAGGCTGAGCCAGGTGGCTCACAAGTTCAAAGCCAGCCTCGGCAAAAGTGAGGTGCTAAGCAATTCAGTGAAACCCTGTCTTTAAATAAAATACAAAAAAGGGCTGGGGATGTGGCTCAGTGGTCAAGTGCCCCTGAGTTCAATCATCAGCACCAAAAAAAAAAAAAAAGAAAAAAGAAAAAAAGAAATTAAAGCCATTCCCAGTAAAATAAAAATTCATTGCTAGCACAGCTGCCTTACAAGAGATAAAGGGAGTTCTTTAGGTAAAAATGAAATGATGCCAAGGGCTGTGACTGTAGCTCAGAGGCAGAGCGCTTGCCTAGCATGCCTGAGGAACTGGGTTTAATCCTCAGCACCACATAAAAATAAACAAAATAAAGGCATTGTGTCCATCTACAACTACATAAAATTTTTTTTAATGTAATGATACTAGATAATAATTCACAGCCTGATTAAGAAACACAGAACACTGGGATGAGTAACAATGTAAATATAAAAGCCAGAATTATTGTATTTTTAGCTTTTAACTCCTTTTTACTTTTCTTTATAAAAGGCATATGTCATACTTAAAAAACAATAATTATACATCCATGTTAATAGGATCTCAATGTATAAAGATATAATTTAATCTGTGTGTGTGTGTGTGTGTGTGTGTGTGTATGTGTGTGTACCAGGGATTGAACTCAGCTTAACCACTGAGCCACATCCCCAGCCCTTTTAATTTTTTTGAGACAGGGTATCATTAAATTGCTTAGGGCCTCACTAAGTTGCTGAAGCTGGCTTTGAACTTGCAATCTTCCTGTCTCAGACTTCCTAGTCGCTGGAATTAGAGGAGGCTGTGCTGCCACCCCCAGCTAAAGATGTAATTTGTGACAATGTAAGGGGGTATGGACAAAGCAGTATAGGAGTAGAGCGTTTGTATACTATTGAAGCTATAATCATATTGATTCAAAATAGATTATCATAAGTTTAAAAGGTTAATAAAAATTCTCAGGGTAACCATTAACAAATTAAAAAAAAAAAAAGAAAGGAAGGAAGGAATTAAAACAGTACACTACATTAAAAAAAAAAGTCAATTGAGCACATAAGGCATTAATGGAGAAACAAATAAAACAAACATAAGCCATAAAAATCAAATAAGATGGCAGAAGTCCTTCTTCATCAGTAATTACTTCAAAAATGAACTGGTTAAACTCTCAATTAAAAAGCAGAGATTGGGGCTGGGGATGTGGCTCAAGCGGTAGCGCGCTCTCCTGGAATGCGTGCGGCCCRGGTTCGATCCTCAGCACCACATACCAACAAAGATGTTGTGTCCGCCGAGAACTAAAAAAAATAAATATTAAAAAATTCTCTCTCTTGGGCTGGAGATGTGGCTCAGCGGTAGCGCGCTCGCCTGGAATGCGTGCGGCCCGGGTTCGATCCTCAGCACCACATACCAACAAAGATGTTGTGTCCGCCGAGAACTAAAAAAAATAAATATTAAAAAATTCTCTCTCTCTCTCTCTCTCTCTCTCTCTCTCTCTCTCTCCCCTCTCTCACTCTCTTTTTAAAAAAAAAAAAAAAAAAAAGCAGAGATTGACAGAAATGTATTTTTTTAATGACCCAGCTATATGCTGTCCAAAAAGAGTTTCACATTAGATTAAAAACCACAAGTAGATTATAAACAAAAGGATAGAAAAAGATACAATTTATAAATATATACACAAAAACAACAGTTCCCAAAAAATATATGAAACAAAAATTGGCACAGTTAAGGAGAGATCAAAATTATCCAGAAACTTCAAAAACCTCATATAGTATATAAGGTAACTAAGCAGAAGATCCACAAGAAATATTTTCCAGAACAGACCATGTTGGGCCACAAAACAATCCTCAACAAATTTAAAAGACTGAAAGTATACAAACTATCTTCTCTGACTACATAGAATGAAACTATAAGTCAACAGGAGGAAAACAGAAACAAATAAGTGAGAATTTAAAAAATACACTTAATCAGCCAGTGGATCAAAGAGAAATCACAATGGAAAAGAAAATATTTTGACACAGATGGAAATGAAAACACATCAAAACTTAATTCAGGATTGGAAGACTTAATATTGATGCTACCTAAAGTGAGCTTATAGATTTAATACAATCCCAATTAAAACTCCAGCACCCTTTTCTGCTTAAAGGGAAAAGGTAATCTGCATGTTCAGTGGGGGATGGAGACTCACTGTTTAATGGATAGCTTTCTTTGAAGTGATAAATGTTTTGAAACTCTGCACAACATTGAATATAGTAAATGTCACTGAACTGTACATTTTTAATAGTTAATGCTGTAAAATTTCACCTTAATTTAAAAACAATTAAAATCTGAATATACCATGGACCTCAGTTAATAACATCAATATTGTTCTTTTATTGTAATTAAAGTACCACCCTAATGTAACACGTTGGCAACAGGGGAAAGGGTGCAGTTCCTGGGAACATTTTCTATATATCTTTTTAAATATTTTTAGTTGTAGATGGACACAATACATTCAAAATACATTTATGTATTTATGTGGTGCTAAGAATCGAACCTRGTACCTCACACATGCTAGGCAAGTGCTCTACCACCAGGCCACAATCCCAGCCCACATTTTCTATATATTTAAAACTACTATAAAGTAAACATTTAAAAMTTTTTTTTATTTCCCAGGTAAGTTAACTTTTAACATGCCAGTTAAAGGAAAAACATATATTTTTAAAAAAGCATCATGTACAACTACATGCAAAATAATTTTTTTTTTTTTTTTTTGGTAACAGGGAATTTGTTTTTATTTTCTTATTTATTTATTTATTTATTTATTTATTTTTAACCCACAAGGCACTCAACCA